TAGGGTGGAGGGTGGGGTTTCCTAGTGTACTATAGCGGCCTTAACAATTAATTCGAATAGGGTTTGGGGGGTTACTGCAGCATTGCTCTTCACACCTGCCGGAGGGGGATCGGGTTTACAGCTTTGTTGCCATGATAAAAGGCAGCTCTAAACTCTAAACCTGCAAGCAGCTGGTATACTGGAATTATCCGTCGAAACCCTAAACCCTTGAAGCCTGTTGCCAGGGTAGAAAGCTGAGAGGTCGTGCTCAGCTCACTGAAGCCTAAACTTGTAAGGTTTAGAGTCGAGGGTATTTTGGTTTCTGCATATCCCCTACTTCGAGGTTCATGGCTACCTGCCTAAGCCCCTTTAGGCCAGGGTTTAGGGTTTTAGGGTACAGGGTGTAGGGTTTAGGGTATATAGGGCCTAGGGTGTAGAAGCCAGGAAGTTGGAACATTATCATCCTCTTAACGCATAAAGGAGCACTACTCCTACCCAATTTCTGGGCTTCGCTGCAAACCCTAAACCAGTTAAACTCCTATAGACCCTAAACCAGTAAACCCCTATAGACCCTAAGCCCTCGCACCCAGGGAGACACACGGGAAGTCGTGGAACCTGGCCATGTTGAAGGCCCTGAGGCGTTGGTCTCACAACGGCACCGGCATGAGGACATCGGGCGGTGGGATGTAGGATTATGGGTTCTGTAGGGGTTGTTATAGTATAGGGGCCTTAATAATTGGAATAGGGGTCTTGGGGCCCAATATATTATATATTTAATACGGAACCCCCAAACATAGTATTGGTAATTATTTAGGCCCCTTTCTTACTTGGTGGCTTTATAGGGTTTAGGGTGTAGAAGCGCAGGGGATCAGGGTTCAGTCCCATTTTGCCCTAAACCCGTGGATCTCCACCTCACTGACCTCACCCAAGCCAGGAGGACCAGGCTTGCCTCCTCCTCTCCCTACCCTAAGTTACCAAAACCTACCTTTTTTGTAGGGTCCCTATAAATTCTGTATTAGGGTTTACAATAATAACCTACAAAAAAGTAGGTTCTGGTAGCCTAAGGTAGGAAAATTGGAAAGCATGAAGCATGAACGAGGGCCGTTTCAGGGCTTCCGTGGACCTACATACATGCATACATACATACATGCACCCGTGCGCACATGCGGCAGGCATGGACACACACACACACACACATGCACACGCGCACAAGTGCGTACATCTCAATGCCTAGCCCCGATGCCCCTGAACTCTCGAAAGTTAGTCGAGCCGCCAACCCAAAAACCCTGAACCGCAGTTCTTCGTGGCGCCCTATGCCCTTCAACCCTAAACCCCTAAACCCTAAACCCTTAAACCCTTAAACCCTTAGCCCTAAGCCCTAAGCCCTAAACCCTTAAGCCCTAAACCCCTAAGCCCCTAACCCAGAACCCTTAAATCCTAAGCCCTGAACCCTAAACCGAAAACCAAATTTCGTCTTTTGGTTGTGTCCTTGGGTACTTTGGCAAGCTGGTCGCTGCAATTTGATTGGCCGACCATCCACACAGTACTTTGATGTACCGTGGTCTGCGACACCACTGGCCACTATGATGCACCAACTTTGCACCACGAACCACGCAACGCCATTTGTGTATAGTTTCTTCAGAGCAACTTTTGGAAGCTGTAGATAGGAGGCATCGTTGCAACTTTTGCCATGGCAGCAAAACGGCACTTTCTCCCAAGCCACTGAAACCAACTTTGTCGTGAGCTTCTACATTTACGTTGTGTGAGATTGAGGTATAGTACTTTATCTCAAGGAGGCGTGTGAAGACAACACGTTATCTCCATACCCCGACTTTGCCACTTATGTGGCTCAAGATCGTGATGCACTTTGTGCAGTCCCTGGAAAGAGGTGCTTTGTGAACTTTCAGGGTTACTTTGATCTGAAGCTGAGGGAGCAGCGCACGCAGTACTTTCGGATATTGTCAGTGTGCTATCTGAGTACGTTGTACTTTCGCAGGGGTTCAGGGTTTAGGGCAAGTGTCGGGTTTAGGGTTAGGGTTATAATGTATGTATGCATGTATGTACATGTAAGGATAGTTAGATAGATAGGAGACAGACAGACAGTCAGCTAGATTGATGGGGACTACATGGGGATGTTATTTCAACGTATTCCGCCCCCTTCATACCACTGTCTGCCCTACCCAAACCCTAACCCTATACCCTTAAACCCCTAAGCCCGAAGCCCTCTAAACCCTCTACATCCCCAACCCTAAACCCCTAAACCCCTAAGCCCGAAACCCTCTATACCCTCTACATACCACCGTTTTTAGCTGGAGGATTGGGGGCCAACAGCCGTCCGGAGATGGCTCGAGCATCTGGGCGACGACCCCTGCGCCATCCCCGAACTTCGAACGCGATTTTGTTGATGTGTTTTTTTTGTGGCTTAGGGTTTAGGGTTTAGGGTTTTGGGTTTAGGGTTTAGGGCTTTGGGTTTTGGGCTTAGGGTTTAGGGTTTTGGGTTTAGGGTTTAGGGTTTTAGGGTGTTTGGTGAGGTGGGGCCGGGGGGGGGGAAGAGGTTGTTTGATGTCTGTATTTTGGGGTGGGTGGGGTGAGCGGAAAGAGGAGGGGGCGGGGAGGGGGGGGGTTGCGGCTTTCAACTGTTATGGTTTAGGGTTCAGGGATTGAGGGATGTAGACAGATCCTAAACCCTATCTACCCTAAACCCTACAAACCCCAAACCCTATACCCTAAACTTTAAACCTTACATACTCTAATCCCTAAACCCTACAGTGGCAAGAGCTTTAGGCTGGAGCTCGTCCGAAAGCCCGAAACCCTAAACCCCAAAGGTCTGTAATGTAAGGGTGCCGTAATATTTGGGGGACCTAATGGGATCCAAATTTAGAGCACTACCAATCGGGTTTAGGGTTTAGGGTACCCATTTGTCAATCAACAGCGGTGCACACCTCCGGGCACTCTTTTTGGTTTGCAGCTTCCCTCAGCTGTGCTGTCCCCAAACGCTAGCTCCTAATCATGCGTTAGGCTGCTGTACCACTGAGGTGCGGAAGTTCTTGCGCTACGTCTTCGACTACCTTAAGATCCGCACCTTTCTGGATGTGCCTTGCGGGGATATGACGTGGATGCCAGAGGTGGACTTGACTGGCGTCCAGTATTTTGGTGGCGACCTGTCGTCTGCGCTGGTGACGAGTCATCTGCAGCGATTTGCCGGAGATGGACGTTTCGCCAACAAGTTCGCTCGGTTTGACATCACCTGTATGATACCACCACGGGTTGACCTGATCCATGCCCGAGATGTCTTCATGCACATCGATACCGACTTGTCGCTTCGGGCTATACGAAATTTCCAAAGGAGTGGATCCAAATACCTCGTGGTTCCACATTGGCCCTTTTCCGATGGTTCATCAAACGAATATCACCCTGCTGACTTCGAGCTGGCTTATCATAACGTGCACGACCTGAACCCAAAGGCATCCCAAGTTATAGGATATCACAATTACAACCTCGAGCTGCCTCCCTATTGCTTCCCGGCGCCGCTATACTGGATTCGCAATTCCGCCATCGCTGAGCGGAATGGATGGCTGGGGGTTTGGGCTTTGCCGGCGCTGGGACGCGGGCAGCACTCAAAGTGCCTCGCCCGTACTGCGTGGTTCGACACCATTTGCGACAGCCGCTTCAACTGTTTCGACACCCAAGAGGAGCGGCGCGACTGCTTGGCCGGAAATTCCAGATCGGGATCCCCATGTTGTACTGCGCTACACCTCACTCAGAGGCTACATAGCCTGGACACGGGCGGGATGTGGTTCGTAGAGCCGCAGCAGGCGCAATCTCTATGCTCGGATTTCGTGCGCCTGCCTATGGGGTCGCTTCTGCTGGAGGAGCAGATGACAGTATGCTCGCGGGCTGTGCTGGCCTTGGCTGAGTTTGCCTACGAGACACATACTGGTAATGCAACGCATGAAAGAAGAAATGAATCTTGCTCCACAGTATCCGTGCATGCCCGCTACCCTCTTCTAGCAGAGGAGGATAAGGTCCTCTCCGAGCAACTCCAGAAGCAACGCTTGCAGTGGTGGGACAGGGCCTACCGCATTCACACGCACCTGGGTTCTGGCTGGTCATACCAGCTCAACGGCAGGAAGTTGTTGATGTCCCTGGCAAATCACACTGCAGCTTGCGACGAACTGGAGCAAGGATGTGCCTTGTTCAACCCATGGGAGCCACAGCGATGCTTTCCTCATCATCCCTTGATCAGAGCATGGTCCCCGTCCTGCAGAAAGAGGCCTCAAATCCCCAGTAGGCCTCTCCGAGCCTCTCCGGGTCCGGCAACTTGGAATTTTGTAGTATCACTTGTTTCTTGTTGTTTCTATTTCCTTGTATATTATTTTTATCTAATCTCCAAAAGCTTCGACTTTTTCCGAGTGGGTTGCTGAACAGCCTAGGTAAGAGACTGGCTCGGCCTCCGACAAGACTGCGGTCACAGCGAAAGTGAGGAAAGTAGCCCTGTCCCACAAATCCGACCCCACATGTCAGTGACACTTGGCTGAGAGGTCACCTCGGATCGACTTGCATTTCAGGCTTGATGTGGACCGTCGGGGTCCGGTTCCGAAGCCTGGTGAACTAAAAACACTAAACCCTTAACCTCAAACCCCTAAGCCGTACTCAGGACGCGGGCCCTGGAGTGTGCAGGGCTGCCATGGGGTCCTGTGGCGGGAGAGGACTACTTCGAGACCATCTCCTTCCTTTCCGCCGTGGAAGATGCACCTTACTAGGATTTAGGTATTAGGGTTTAGGGTCTAGGGTTTGGGGTTTAGGGTTTACGGTTAAGGAGTTAAGGGTGGATTAGGTAACCTTCAACCCGCTTTGGAGCACTAGAACTATAATCCCCGTGTAATCCCCCCCCCCATATTTTCCCAAAAAGTTAACCTCTCCATCTACCTTCCGTCAGACCCCAAAGAGCTACGATTAGAGGCCAATATATGAAGGCTACAAAGAGGTTCCTGGGATACTGGACTCCCCAAAATACTTCCCCCACAATCCCCAAAGGCTGACCTTTAGTTCCCCCACGATACTGGGCAAGTAAGGCACCAGCCGACACCTTCAACGTCATCGAAGTCGCCGGCAGTCTATTCTGGGCCTTGAAAGCGGCGAAAGCCTTCAAACGACGCTCCAGTGGAGGCTCACTGTTGTCACCAGTATTAGATATTGTTGTATCATTGCCACGGCTGTGCTACTACTACTACTACTACTACTACCACTACCACCACCACCACTACTATATTCAAGATAAGAGAGAGTAGGGATTCTATTTGGAGGCGCTTGCAAGCTGATCTTCTTTCCTACGCTGCCGGCGACGTCCCGGGAGCTTCATCACGACGGCTCGCGGCAGACGAACCCCAAGCCCTAAATCCGAGACCTTAAGCCCTAAACCCTATAAAGCTCTAGACCCTAAATCCGAAACCCTAGACCCTAAAGCCGAAACCCCAGGCAGACGAAAACTTTGCAACACGACGGTCTACCGATCACGGAGCAACTCCGGTTTGCTGGACAGGTTTTAGGCTTGGGGCTGGACGGGGTGCATTTTGTTTCATTTATGTCCTGGTCTACACATTGACAATTATAGCAGCGGCTCGGCAGACTTTAAGATGGAAGGTCCACCGACAAGTTTAGACTAGAAGGCTGCATGGGGGGCGCAGGATTCCACGTTGGCTGCCGGGCACGTTGACTTCCTGCACGCCGATATCTTCGAGGCGCGACCTTGGAAGTGGCAAGCAGAAGCCGATGATAGGACCATGATAGGCCGGTATTTGCATTCGAGGTTCTCTCTGGGTGTCCCGAAGTTAGCAGGACAGGCCTTGATTGTTACATATAAGACCCTTATACTCGACTCTATAGTTAAACCTTTCTAGGACTCTTTAACCGAGGCTTATTTTACATGTACCCCAGACTCGTCACTAAGTTTAAGTGCCGGGATCTTCGAGCTTAGCCAGCTGTCATGCGCAACTGAGCAGGAAGAACAGAGGCAGCTGATACTTGGGAGCAGTTTCTTGCAGAAGCTTGGATGCACTCGAAGCGGGTCATTATGAGGGGGGTACTGTAAGGGGTATTGTACGGCCCCTATATGCCCTAAACCCCTATAAGCCCTAAGCCCTAAACCGGGTTGCTACAGGGGCTTTTATATATATATATATAATGCGCCTTTCCGAATGGTGTAAAACCTAAACCCCCAACAAACTGAGCGCAGCTATTGTGAAGCAGAGGGATCGGCAGGATGGAGCGAGAATGGGAAGGAGAAAGCAAGTTTATAAGGGTTTCTATAAGACTATCTATAAGGGTTACTATAAGGTTATAAGGTTACTATGAGGTTACTATAAGGTTACTATAAGGTTACTATAAGGTTACTATAAGGTTACTATAAGACTATAAGGTTAACATAAATTAAGTGTCAGGACATTGTGATGAAAGAGAGAGAGAGAGAGATAACACAAAACAGAGACAAAGGGATAATAGTAAGACAAATACAAAAACATTAAACCCAACAGGCATCCAAACACAATGAAATCCTAAGCCCCTACTATAGAACCTTGACCCTAAATCCAAAGCCCTTATTATAGAACCGGTACAGTAGCCACTAAAAGAACCTTAAAGCATCAAAGGAACATGTGACACCCTAAACCTTATTACTAAACCCTTACATAACCGATAAGGACTGTCCGACACCCGTATAGCACCTTAAAAAACAAGCCCCAAACCCACCAAAAGCAATGTCCGACAGCCTACACCCTAAACTAAACCCTAAACACCAAAACCCTAAACGAAACCCTAACCCCGAGTGGAATGATGAGAAGCAATCTCAAAACCCCCGCAACAAGAAATGCCCGACACCTTTTCCTGAAACCCCTAAACTAAACCCCAAAACCCCAAACCAAACTGTAAACCCCAGACCTCCAAGGAATGTCCGGCACGTTTTCCTGAAAACCCACGGCCACCTCCACAAAATTCTCCGGGCCGGGCTCGTCGAGCGAAACTTTGCGATCAGCTTCGATTTCGCTGCTTGGACTCGAGGTGTGGCATATGGCTTATGCTTTGGTTCATAGGGTTTCTATAAGGGGACTATAAGCTATAGGGTTTCAATAAGGCATCTAGAAGTGTTCCTATAGGGCTGCTATCAGGATACTACATGGATGGTTCTCTAAATCAAGTTCCCTTTTTTAGGTCCCCAACATAGTACGACACCCTTATAAAAGGACCCTTGAAGGGACCCCAATTTAGAGAACTACCCATCGACTTTGGTTTATGGTTGTTCTTATCGTCATTATCATGATTATTGTTGTTATTGGCTCCAACGTGCTGTTCACGCGCGCCGCACACAGGCCGACCGCATCGGTATTTGCGGTGGTTCGTGGACTTGACAGCTGAAAACGCTCCGCCTCTCGCGTTTTTCTGGGGGGAGCAGAAGCGCGGGCGTGGAGGCGTCGAAGCCGTTGGTATTTACGGAATTTGGCGGACTTGCTGTGTCGAAAACGTCGCGCCTGCCGTTGTCCGGATCAATTTCCACCTATTCCCACAGAGCATCCATGGGCCAACCATGATAACGTTCCCACAAACTCCATCCCTTCACGCAGAGCATCCATGGGCCGACCCTGATAACGTTCCCACAAACTCCATCCGTTCACGCAGAGCATCCATGGGCCAACCATGATAACGTTCCCACAAACTCCATCCGTTCACGCAGAGCATCCATGG